CTCTCTCTCTCTCTCTCTCTCTCACACACACACACACACACACACACACACACACATCCAACACACACACACACACAGAGGGCGGGTGCGCTGTCGGAGAAACGAAGATCAAGGGCTTCTATCCACTACTCCCCAAATGTGTGGAATGAAAATGAATCCTCCAATAGAACATGGCAAGATACACCGCCATATTTTTTGTCTTTGTGCATGTGGAGAGTAGTGCAGCGAGGCCCAAAGAGAGAACATAGTGACGTTGCCTTTTGATCCTTCGATGTCGGCTCTTCCTTCCGTTCTTCCTATTATCTAGAAAAGTTACCAGAGGGGTGAAACAAAAAAGAAAAGAAGGGCGGCTATGATGAGCTCAACGAGAACTGAAATTTCGTGTGGAGCAAAAGAAGCTCATTTCGTTTTGATGCCCCGTCCGAATACAAACTGTGAGAGCATGGCCTATGGATCCGTTTCCGTTTGTGGACTTGAAGGTAAAGGAGGAGGAGGAGGAGGAGGAGGAGGATGACCGAAGAAGAAGAGGAGGAGGAGGAGGAGGAAAAAGAACAAAAGGACGAGGAGAAGACGAGGAGCAAGAAGACGAGGAGGAAGAAGAAGACGAGGAGGAAGAAGACGAGGAGGAAGAAGACGAGGAGGAAGAAGACGAGGAGGAAGAAGACGAGAAAGAAGCGGAGGAGTAGGAGAAAGATATGGCGCAAGAAGCGGAGGAGGAGGAGGAAGAAGAAGAGGATGAGGAGCAGCAGCAGGAGGTAGGGCGACGGTCCACTGCGCACTGGAGGAGGAGGAGCTAAAGGGCAAAAGCACATTTGATTTTGTTTTCCAGTAAAAATCAAAAACAAAAAAACAAAACAAATAAAAAACAAAAAAACAAAACAAATAAAAAACAAAAAAACAAAACAAATAAAAAACAAAAAAACAAAACAAAAAAAACAAAAACAAAAAATTAATCAATGGATCAATCAATCGCATTGATTGATTGATTGATTGACTGGGTGTGGAGGCGAGGGGGAGGAAGGGATGGATCTAGGGGAGGAGGGAGGGGGGGAGAGAGAGAGAGAGAGAGAGAGAGAGAGAGAGAGAGAGAGAGTCTGCTCCTCCCTCTCCTCCTCCTCCGTTTCCCCCTAATCCAGATCCCGATTAATTTCTCTTACTTTCCCTTCTCCCCCTCCTTTTACTCCTAATCCCCATCCCGATTCTCCTACTCCCCCACCTCC